ATTTCTGAGGAACAAATGGCTATAATATAATTGTAAAATCATGGACTATGCTTTATAATATGTTTCAATTTGGAAGCAACTTTTAGACATTCAGCTTAAAGTTACGGAATACTGTATTATATCTGGCACCATTCTAATCATTTCAAGTAAAACGTTTGCCTGAAATTTTGAGAATGTAAATTTTTTTAAATAGTTGTCAGAAAAGTAGAAGCATTTCTCATGCTTTTTAAATATGACTATCTTTGATTTGTCCCTTTTCAAAGGTGACTAGTTGTGCCTGGGTGCCAGGCAGCTGCCAGCTGTTCACTGGGAGCAGGAGTGGAGTCGTCACAGTCTACACCAACAGATTAACCAGCAGCCCGGTAGAGTGAAGTACCATTCATTTTATATAAGGTTAGCTTTAAATGTTTGATCTTTAGTCTTTTCCCCACATTAGTTCTTAAAATGTGAAAGGTCTCATATCTAACTCTTTAGGTTGGTTTATCAGGATCATGAAAAATTTTGAAAATAATTATAAAGTTCCTATCTTTTGGTTTCAGAGACAGTATTTTAAGTTATGATCTATTTTGTATTTATGACATGTTAATGTTTGCCTGTATTCTTGGTATCAACCTGAATGCTTAGGAGTATACCACAGGAGTCTATCAAATTTGAAATCTTAAAATCATAACCACTATGAGGTACTACCTCATACCTGTTAGGGTGGCTATTATCAAAAAGACAAGAGACAACTAATGTTGGTGAGGGTGTGGAGAAAAAGGAGCCTGGTCCATTGTAGATTACTGCAGCCATTATGGAAGACAGTATGGAGGTTCCTAAAGAAATTAAAAATAGAGCTAACATATAGGATCCAGCAATCCTGCTTCTGGGCATATACCCAAAGGAAATTAAATCACCACCTCGTAAAGAGATCTACACTGTTAAGACAAATTTTATTAGGACTCTAGGCAGATTTGAGCAAATGTGTAAATAAGTGTGCAGGCTTCAGGTTCTATTCAGAACAGCACATTGGCAGGGCATTTCTTAGAGCTTCCTGTCTCCAGCCCATTTGTTTCTTTTCACCTTTGCTGAGGACTCTCAGACCAAAGCCAGTGTTTTGTTTTTAGTCCTTTGCAGATTCTTGCTCCTTATTCCTCATCAGGGAGGAAACAGAGCAGGAAGTACCTAACTGGAGTTAGGCTTACACAGTCTGGAATTTGGTAGAATCAGGTAGTGTTGGTTAAGGAAACTGTCCCCTGCCCTGCCTTCAGTCATATAAGGGGATTGGTTAATCTTCCTTGTGTTGATACAGTTGACACTAAACACCAGTCCTGCTATCTTAAAACTGGTATCCCCAGTGTACTTTCACTTGCTAAGATCCTACATCGGCTTTGTTTTAAAATTGTGTGACAGATTTTTGAATGCCTTCTCTTTCTAAAAAGAATTTATAGCCATAATAATAGCTGAAATTTATTGATCACTGAATAATTTTTTAATGCTTTCCTCAGGGAATTTATAATCATAATAAAAAGGAGTTACTGACCATCGACTCAGTGCCAGGCACTGTGGTGAGCACAGAACACATGCATAATCTCATGCGCTCTCTCAACAGCTGCATGAGCTAGGTCCTGTGAAGTAGGCTGTACTGTCTTCTCCATTTTCCAGATGAGGAAGCAGAAACTTGAAGGGTAAAATCACAGAATTGGCATCAGAAACCGAACATAACCCTATGTTTGTCTTATTTCCAGAGCCTCTGTTGGCTACACTGTCATGCAACTCTGTGGCAAAATAGAATGATCAGGTAAACTCTCCTTAAATAGTGTCTGCAGAGCCCACCTTAATTCTAAGAAGTCAAGAAAGTACTGTTCCCAAGGCTACAGCGATCATGAGAAAGCCTCCAAGGAGACGACAGACTTGACCTCTACTTAAGATTTCCTGGGACTGCCAGCTGCAGCCTGATTGCTGCCTGCATGCTTCCTGGGGTAAGGGGATACCACGTAGTCCCAGCCCTCTCTAAAAATATCAAGGGGAACCCAAGCTAGTGTGAGAAGGAAGGAAAACCATTATAAAAGCCACAAAAGACAGGATAGGAAGACTCAAATACATGAAAACAGAAAACTTCCATATGATGGAGACATTATAAAACAGAGTCAACTGGCAGATGATAAACTGAACAATTGTTTACAGTGGACATGACAAACAAGATGTGAAGTCTGTGATGTGTAAAGAGGATCAGATGAAGGACAGCAATCCAGAGGAAGCTGGCAAAGGATATAAAGAAATCCACAAAGTAAGAAAGTGAAATGCCAGTCCACATATGAAAAGATTCTTAACTTTAGTAGTCAGAGCAAGGCAAACTAAAAACAGTCTGGAGGCCACTTCTTGTCTGTTATATTGTAAAAATTTAAAGATTGATGACATCTACTCTTCACAAGAAATGAGGTGAACAGATACTCCTAAGTGGATGTGAACATAAAGTGAGCCAACAGTCCCCTGCCACCACTTAGTCCAGTCTGCTGTGGTCTCCAACCTGGACTATAAAAGTCTCCCAGCATCTCTTCTTTCCCAGATTCCATCTGGACACAAATCAGACCATGCTGCTCTTCTTAAACCCCTCAGTGGCTTATGCTCTGTCTAGTTTGACCACTTAGCTCCTTACCCCAGGCCTCGGAGCTCTGTGTGGTCTTGCACCTGTTTACTTCTCCCTCCACATCTTAGCTGCTTTTCCTCTTCCTATGTCCTTCTTCTGCACAGATCACACATAGCTCGGTTCTTCTAGCAGGTGCTCTCTTTTCTGCCTGGGGCCTTTGCTGTTTGCTGTGTTTCCCCCTGGAAAGTCTACGTCATCTCCACAACTTTTCAACCTTCAGGTCTCAACTCAAGTGGCACTTACAGAAGAAGCTTTTTAAATAAACATCCATTGAAATGGCCTTGGTTAAAGGTATTGTTGTATATTCACACAGTGGAATACTTTGTAGCTATTTTAAAAAAGATAAAGTAGCTGTATGTTTCTTGTGAAAAGAGGACCACATATGTTATTCATTGAAAAACAAAAGCAAGTTGCAGAATAATTTCTATGGTCTGTTACCATTTTGGTAAAAAATGTGTACCTTTGTATATTTGTAATTATATACATACAGAAAAGAATCTAAAAGGATACTCATCAGAAGTAAGTGGTTACCTTTAAGGAGTAGAATTGTGGGGTGAGAGACTCACATTTAAAAAAATTACTTTATTGAGATAATAATTTTCATACAGTCCAGTTCACACATTTTTGTGTACACAGTATGATGAGATTTAACAAATGTCTGTATTCAGGCAATCCCTACCTCAACTCTGGATTCTGATCCCCACCCCAGGAGTTGTGGTGGTGGTTGCTGTTACTTTGTATGGTGACTTGCCTGAACTAATTCTGTAGCTCGAAATGTGCAGCAACTGATATCTCTGCTTAGGGTTTTTTTTTGTTTGTTTGTTTAAATCTTCTTCTTACTTTTAAGCCTGTTCTGAGGGTTGCCCCGGCTCAGCATACTTTAGTGGTCAGCCAGTGGTTGCTCAGAGGTTGTGCTTCAGCACATTATGCAATAAGGCGTCAACCCTCTACCAGGGGGTCTGTGTAATTTGAGACACATATTCTCTGTTCAGACAGCTTCTGAGCCTGCCCCGACTCACTTTTTGTTTAAGCAGGGTCTCCTGCTCAGCCAGAAGAGTGGGTAACTAGGGCCCTCTTTGGTCTCTCCTGAGTGCCTTCCAGATTCCCAGGAGTATGTGAGAGCTTACAAAAGTCTACTATTACTGTCTCATTCCCCAGATATCCTTTTTGAATTTTGGGCTCATCTCTTGCTTGCCACAACCAGCATCGAAGCCTTGGTTGTGATGCTCTCCTTCCCTGCCGTGTCTTCACAACCTTCCTGGGTGTGGACTTTTCCATGAAGTCCATATCCTGGAGGTCAGGCCCTCCATGGCTGCTGCATCACGGAGCTGGGAGGGGCAGGAGATGGGAACAGCCCTATGCAGAACAGGTACTCACTGTTCTTACTGAGGTTCAGTAGTGTTTCTTGAATAAGAAGTTCTCAGTTTGTTGTGTAATTTGGTGAATGTCCAAAGTTCTGAATTGGTTGTTTTTGACAGTTTTGTCCAGTTTTATGGTTGCTCTTGCAGAGAGGATTTGCTTAACCCCTCACTCTGACCCTCTGGAATTCTGGTTAACTCATATTTGCGTTTATTTGCTGTTAAAAATGTCTTGGCAAAATTATTGCACCTGTTGGCATTACCCAGGTTTCTGCTTATTTTCATTGCACAGGTCCCTGGGTAAAAGTGCTATGGGTGGTTGTATAACTCAAATCATGGAGATCCATTACCTAGTACTATGGCCTCTTAGGTTTTATACTAAAATTAGGGAGATTATTGACTCAGTTCTGTATCAGGAAGGTATGAGGACATGTCCTACCCACCTCACCTCCCAGAAAACATGGTACAACATGTAGAGACTGCTTCTCTCCTGTTTTCTTACTCTGTCTTTTCCTCCTGTGTTTCACCTCTGGTAGACATCAGAATTGCTAGATTGTTAGAGTTTGGAGTTTGCTTGTTGTGCACAGCTGATTTGAGGCTGAAATGGGTTTAAGCACACAGGTTCATGTTTTTGATGCATACGGTGCTTCACCATTTGCTTCAACTCTGTTATTAATCCGCGGTTGCTTCTCTGGCTCCTGCTGCCACCTGGCCCTCCCTGGCCTCTTCCTTCATCCTCTCATCAGCTGAGAGGGTTGCTGTGAGCCATGAGTATTCTTACATACGGTTAAGTCTTCATTATTGTTTGCTGTTTTGCCCAGAATCTATCTGTGTGTAGCTTTTCCCCATTTACTCTAATTGCTATCCTAGCATTGACTCAGCCTCCAGTACTGGGGATGCCCCTAGTTTTATGCTCACCTGATTCATCCATAAAATGATCTTCAGCACCTCTCTTGTGCCACACTTTTGGATTTTGTGGTCTAATTCTTGCATGTTTCTTCCTGCAGGCTTTGATGACAGGGAGCTTCCCTGGCTTTATTGATGTTGTCAGGAACTTCAATTCTCCTGCGCTACTGGAAGACAACATGATAAGACAGGCAAAAGCAGCTGGGAAAAGAATAATGTTTTATGGAGATGAAACATGGGTTAAGTTATTCCCAAAGCATTTTGTGGAATATGATGGATCAACCTCATTTTTTGTGTCAGATTACACAGAGGTCAGTTTTTAAATAAGAGAAATATGTCATACTAGGTGGAGTCTGGCACTGCCATTACTTAGTAAGAGGTAGTATTATTTTGTATATAGCTTTTATTAATTTATGGGAAGTGGTACAGAGAGACTGTAAAAATTATTCACACATGTAATCAGTGAGCCTAGAACAGCTGAGCACCCACTGTGGGGTACAAAGGATCAGAAAGGGCATCACAGCAGAGGAGCTATTTGAGCCAAGTTGTGACAAGTGAGTGGGGACTTCCCAAGTGGACAAAATGGGGTGGAAGCATCTGTACGTAGCAGAACTGTAGGATTCCACAGCTTGTGTGGGATCCTTGGGGCTGTTTGGTTCTCCAGGAAGTGGGTCATCATCCTGCTGTGAGGGCAGGCAGTGAGCTGGGCAGAGCCTTGTCCTGAGGGCACCAGCCCTGTCCTGGGAGGTGCAGTTTCCAGCAAGGAAAAGAGCAGGATGAGACCCGTACATTAGAAAGTCGATGCTGTGGGCCGGCCTGGTGGCGCACTGGAGAGTGCGCTGCTCCTGCTGAGGGTTCGGATCCCATGTGGAAACTGGTTCCCGCTCACTGGCTGAGTGCGGTGCGGGCGCAACACCGAGGGTTGCGATCCCGTTGCTGGTCAGTAAAAAAGACAAAAAAAGGAAAAAAAAAAAAAAAAAAAAAAGAAAGTCGATGCTGGGGCAGAGGCAGGAGCACACCAGCATGTGTATGCTTGGCATTGGGATGGACAAGCCTCCCCTCTCAGTTTGCTGGGCCTGGCAAGCATCTGCAGTCCGGCTAGTCCTGCATGCAGTCATGCCCTTTTCTGCAGTTTACAAGGGTACATCAGCCTGTGCAGATACAGCAGTTACTTTTCAGTAATGACTGAGTTTCCCCATATTATATATGGCACCATTTGGAAACATTTCTCTTTGTAGTAGATTTTTTAGTGGGAGGGAGATGGGCTAGCTGAGGGGTCAGGGCTGACCAGGGTAATGGCTCTGTCTTGGGCTGCTCAACTGTTAATCCCTTTATGATGTGCTTATTTCAGAAATAAATGTGATTGTTGAGTGCTGTGTCTCTTTCCTTCCCAGAACAGCCTCCTTGTAGGATACACATAGATGGCCTCGGCTTTCCTGTCCTGCTGGTTGCTTTAACTCTGGGTACTGTCCTGTCTTTAGTTAACTGCCCTTTGCTGTTGGTTACCTCATGACAACTTGGGACTATTTAACTTGCTCATTTTCTCAGCTTTAGTTAAGCCCGGCAGTGATCCCACAGAAAAAAATTTCTTGTCAGAACAGCCCTTACTCATTTAAATTATCTGTATAATGTGTTCTTTTTTTTTCTGTAGCTGGCCAGTACAGGAATCTGAACCCATGACCTTGGTGTTATATGGCTGCGCTCTAACCAGCTGAGCTAACTGGCCGGCTCTTTGTGTAACATGTTCTGTCCATAGCCAGCTCTCTGTATAGCATGTTCTATCCATAACCTATTAGTAAAAGCTTAGTCTAATGCTAAGATTTATTTATTTTTAATGACAGCTTTTTTTAATGTCTTTTAACTCCCATGAGTCTGTTGCCTGAAATAACCCCCTAAATTTAGTGACTACCACTTTTTCCTTGGGGAGTGAAGATAAAGGAAAATAGGTGAGCTATTTATATGTTCTTTTCCCCCTTTAAAGGTGGATAACAATGCCACATGGCATTTGGATAAAGTATTGAAAAGAGGAGACTGGGACATGTTAATCCTCCACTACCTAGGACTGGACTACATTGGCCACATTTTTGGGCCCAACAGCCCACTGACTGGGCGGAAGCTCAGCGAGATGGACAGCATCCTGATGAAGATCCACACCTCGCTGCTCTCTAAGGTGAGGCACCTAGAGTGTGCTGTGGGAGTGGAGTCTCACATTGCCCATGTTTCCCAGAAGAAGTGAGACTGCCTAAGTGAGCTCAGGTCCACTGAGAGCTGCTATTTGTAAAGTAAAGCTAAAGGCTAAAGTTGTTTTCTTAGCAAGATTGTGTTGTCTTCAGTCTGAATGCAGTTGAAATACTTTTTCTCTGCCTTATAAGAGAGAGAGACACTCTTTTGCCCAGTTTGCTGGTTCTTTGTGGTGATAATGGCATGTCTGAAACAGGAAGTCATGGGGCCTCTTCCATAGAGGAATTGAACATAATCTCTGATTTTAATCAGTTGTGCATTTGAAAGGAAACCTGGTGAGAATTTAGGAATGTTTAATAACATTTCGAAAACCGTATTTTATTTGTTTTCTATAGTCTGGTTTTAATATCCTGAGCAATGTGAGAATGGAAATTTGTGGGGCAAGGGGCAGTCAGGATTTGGAGTTTGCAGCCCTTTCCCTGATTCTTATACAAATATTCTTTGTAGGAATTTTGTTATATGAATGGTACTGCCTGGATATCTGGAACTATTAAAAAAAAATTGCCAGTAGCTTAGAGTTATCTGAATCATATATATGAACTGCAGGAAGCATAAATACCTAAACTTTTAAAAAGTATTTATTATTTAAAACCATGTATTGAATAGCGGTGTTAATAAGGCTCATGGGATCCAGTCAGGGCAGGATTGGCTGGGGACTGCACTGCGTGTTCAGACGCACCCCACACACCACCATCTCTGAGGCCTGCGCTCTGACACTCCTTCCCTCATGGCCATCTGTGTGCGGTCCTGTTGGCTTCCTTACCTTCCACACTTTACTGACATGTTCACGGTGGGCTCAGCAGTTGTTTCTGCAACACTGTTGAGCCCGGTGGACACTTTCTGGCGCTGTTCTCACCAGCCCTTCAGAACCATTTAGCACTGCTGGCCCCATAGCTTCTGGGACCCACGTTCTTCTGGCTTTCCTCTGTCCTCTCTTCTTGACTTCTTAACCCTCTTTGCTGGCTTAGCTGGCTCTCCCTGGTCAGTTTTTCTGGGCTGCCTTTTTTTTTCATTCTGTGTTCCCTCCTGAGATGGTCTCATCTGCTTCCATGGCTGTAACCACCGTGAGTGGCCCCACACCCATCGAGTCATCCTCCAGCTGTCTCACTCCTCTGACCTACAGCCCTGTCTGCCCAGCTGCCTACCTGACACCTCCACTTGGGTCTCTCACACAGAGCAAGTGTGAAAGCTTCACATCCAAATTCTTTTTCTTCCCCAAATCTGCCATGCTTATTTCCATGCCAGCAAATGGTACTACCGTTCACACGCTTTCCTCTTGTCTTCTGCCTCCCTGGCTCCCCACGTTCTGTTCCATCACCAGTCTCCCCTTACAGAAAGGCTTTCTGTAGCTGGACTTAGGATAAGGCAAGAAGCCCTGCGTGAGGCATTGTCTTGAGCCACACCCTTCGTCTCTTGCTAGGTCCTGACCACTGCCCTCCTGCAGGTGTCAGCTAATGTCACTCACTTACCCTTGAGACTGAATTACATTCCCCCAACACTCTTCCATAGCACCCCATGTTTTCTGTCAGCATTTATCATTACAGACTTATTTATGAGCTCCATGTAATATCTGCCTTCTCATGACACTTTAGGCTAGGTGAGCGCAGGGCCATGTCTGTTTTCTCATCACTACATGCATGAGAGGTGCCAAAAGATATTTGCTGAATGAATGACTCTTCCACTTAAGTAAGGATTGGTTGAAGAAGTATCTCCACCTGTTTCCTTCTATCCATTTGCAGAGCTTCCTCCTCTTGGATGTCTGATCTCCTAAGATACATTATTGGGCTCTTGTAACCAAACTCTTTCCTGGGTGCCCAGGCTGGAAGCCTGTCTTCCAGTGAGTGTGCACATATTGAGCCATGGTACCCAGCTTTCTGCACCCGCATTTCACCACACACTGTATCCAGAGCAACATTGGCGTGTGAGGGCCCCACACGAGAAACACCCTTTCTTCCATCCATCCATCATCCATTCATCCAGCAGAGGTTTACTGAGCACCTATACTAAGCCAGGTAGTGTGTGTTAGGCACAGCTGACATATGCAAGAGTGAGCCAGACACACCCTTTGCCCTTGAGGAACTTATAAACTAGGGAAGAAAAGAGGTAATTAAGTTGGCTTTTTAAAAAAATTATAGGAATGTCAGGGCTGTTTTTTAACTAAAGTGCTGATGTTTTCATCTCTAAAGTGGGTATTTAAAAAACCAGAGCCAGGAAGGTTGATGGCAGCTGCATGTGTGCAGACCGCCTGCAAATATTGCTCAAGCAGCCAGCCTTGGTTCTTTGTTTTTTTTCTTTCTACTAGTGATCCAGCCCCTTTCATTTTACTTTTTAAAATTTATTTATTTATTAATATTACTATTGTTTTTACATTCTCAGATGTTGCAGAGCAGTTGGGAGGGAGGAGGAGGAGGAAGGGGGAGGGAAACATGGTGGGAAGAGGAGGAAGGAGGGGAGCATAGTCGAAGCCCTTGGCCCCTCCGTCCATTACAGCAGGGGAGACCACGGGGCTTTTAGCAGCAGCTCGGTTGTTTCTGGGCTGGATGTAGGTGTTGGGGGTGTGGCTGAATCCCTCAGCCCCCCAGCTCCTCAGCTCGGGAGCCCAGGTCATTTCCAGGGGCGGCTCAGTGGTCATCGCTTGGCTGGTTGCAAGATGTTGGGGGGGGTATGGCTGAGGCCGTTGGTGCCCCCACTGCCCCAGATTGGGAGCCTGGGGTGCTTCCAGCAGAGCTCAGTGGTCATCAGTGGGCTGTTTGTGGACATCAGGGGTGTGTGGCTGAGGCTGTCAGTTCCCCACTGACCTGGCTCAGGAGCCCAGGGCTCAGTGGTTGTCACTGGGATGGTTGCAGATGTCAGGGAGGTGTGGCTGAGGCTGTCGGCTCCCCCACCTCCCCAGCTCGGGAGCCAGGGTGCTTCTGGCAGCAGGCAGCCTAGTGGCTGTCACTGGGCTGAGTGTGGTTGTGGGAGTGCATGGCTGATGCCTACGGTCCTCCCACTTGATGGAGTTTGGATGTATTGTCCTCCCAGAACTCATGGAAATTTGATCCCCAGTGTGGCAGTGTTGTAAACTGAGTCATCGGAGCAGATCCCTCATGGATGGATTAATGCTCTCCCTAGGTGGGGGGATTAATAAGTGAGTTCTTGCTCTGTTAGTTCCCATGAAAGCTGGTTGTTTAAAAGACTCTGGCACCTCCTCTCTCTCTCTGTGTCTCTCTCTCTCTCTCACTTCCTCTCACCATGTGATCTGCTTGTACCCACTGGCTGCCTGCCACTTTCTGCCATGAGTAGAAGCAGCCTGAGGCCCGTGCCAGATGCAGCTGTCCCAGAATTGTAAGTCAAATAAACTTCTTTTCTTTATGAATTACTCAGTCTCAGGTATTTCTGTTATAGCAACACAAAATGTACTAATACACCCCTCCCTAGCTTGGGAGCCCAGGGTGCTTCCAGTCCTCTTAGGTTTTATAGGTATTCTTTGGTGGTGTTAGACCTTTACTAGTTAATATCAAACTTTGTCTGTGGGTATTTTGTTTTCTCTCTCAGTTCTATGTTGGATTATTTGCTGTTTCCACCACTTAAACTCTGCACTGGAACTAATTTGTTGTCCTTTGCTTACTTCTAAAATGGGGGAACTTCCTGTAGGGACCAGCACTTGAGCCCTGTGATTGAACTAAATTGCTGCTTTGCTGCTGTTTCCATGGGGAAGGCTTTTTGTGTAGCTCAGGTTTTAATTCTTGACCTTATATGTACTTCTGGGTCTTGTGAGGTCTGGTACACCTGGGTTGTGTGGAAATTCTGGTCTGGGCCTGAGTCTTTTCAGCAAACTGCTCCCCCTGTAATTCTGTATTCCTGACCAGTCTCCACTGAGTGGTTCTGTGCTGATTGGAGGGCGGATCAGCTGTCAGTGCTGTGCCCCAGTGTTCTCCTGGTGGGCCCATCTCCCCCACTGCTCACACACCAAACACTTCCCATGGGATGGGCCATGTGCCAGTCCTTTGCGACGACTCACTGGCCTCTGAGTTGCTCCTTTTTTCAGTTGTCTGTGGCTCTTCACTCCTATGTGGGTCCACAGGAACCCCATTAGTGGTCCTACTGGCTTGGGGGCCACCAAAACTCTCTTCTTCCCTGCTGCCTCCAGGCAACTTCATAGGAAGGGCACAGTTGTGACTTTTGCCAGTTCTTGCTCTGTGCACTCACCTGCTCCAGTGTTGAAGTGGCTGGGGTTCAAAATGGTGGGAGGGATCCTTTCTTTCTCTCATTGTGGCTTCTCCTGCCTTCATGAACTCCATAGGTCTCTCCTCCTCTTCCCCTGTGCTCTAGCAGCCCCAGCTCGGCTGTTGTTGTTTTTTAATAGTTGTAGATTGTTTGATTTGTGGGAGAGAGTGATGCTGAGGACTGTCTATTCCACCATCTTGACTGGAAGCCCAGCCTCAGTTCTGATGATTGGTTCTGTTTTGTTTTTTAAGAACTGTTGTATTCCTTATCCTCATTATGCCCATTTTATGAGCCAGGACTGTCCTCTTTAGTACATTCACAGGGCTGCCCAGTGCTCATTGAAAATAGGACATTTTCATTACCTCAGAAAGAAACCTCATATTCTTTGGCAGTCACCTTCCACTTCCCCCAGCCTTCAGCAATCATTAATCTGCTTTTTATGTCTATAGATTTGCCTCTTCTGGACATTTTGTTTAAGTGGAGCCATTTGATATATGGTCATGTGTGTACAATTTCTTTTACTTAGAATGATTGCCTTGGATTGAGTGTCCCCCCAAAACTTGACCCCCACTGTGACAGTGTTAAGGGGTGGGAAATCCTGTTATAGTAATTGAAAGATGGGCCTTGAAGAGTTGATTAGATTGTAGGACCATGCAGTAGTGAATGGATTAAAAATGATGGTCATAGGTGTGGTTCTGAAGGATTTAAGAGAAGAGCACATGAGAGGTTAATCTCTCTCTGCTCCATCCTTTCCTGCCACGTGAGACCCGTGGGTCACTGTCGCCACCTCGGAGACCCTCATCAGATGTTTTCCCTGGACTTTGGACTTCCTAGCCTCTGAAACTATAAGCAATAAATTTTGTTTTCTTTATAAATCACCCAGTTTCAGGTATTATGTTATAAACAACAGAAACAGATTAATACAGTGACGTTTTTCCAGGTTCATCCAAGTCGTATCAGGACTTCATTCCTTTTTATTGCTGAGTGATATTCCATTGCATGGATTTACCATATTTATTTGCCATTCATCAGTTGATGACATTTGGGTTGTTTTCACTTTTTGTTT